GCTCGCTCGCTCGCTCGCTCGCTCGCTCGCTGCTCGCTCGCTCGCTCGCTCGCTCGCTCGCTCGCTCGCTCGCTCGCTCGCTCGCTCGCTCGCTCGCTCGCTCGCTCGCTCGCTCGCTCGCTCGCTCGCTCGCTCGCTCGCTCGCTCGCTCGCTCGCTCGCTCCTCGCTCGCTCCTCGCTCGCTCGCTCGCTCGCTCCTCGCTCGCTCGCTCGCTCGCTCGCTCGCTCGCTCGCTCGCTCGCTCGCTCGCTCGCTCGCTCGCTCGCTCGCTCGCTCGCTCGCTCGCTCGCTCGCTCGCTCGCTCGCTCGCTCGCTCGCTCGCTCGCTCGCTCGCTCTCTCGCTCGCTCTCTCGCTCGCTCTCGCTCTCTCTCTCGCTCGCTCGCCTCTCGCTCGCTCGCTCGCTCGCTCGCTCGCTCGCTCGCTCGCTCTCTCGCTCGCTCGCTCGCTCGCTCGCTCGCTCGCTCGCTCGCTCCTCGCTCGCTCGCTCGCTCGCTCGCTCTCGCTCGCTCGCTCGCTCGCTCGCTCGCTCGCTCGCTCGCTCGCTCGCATAGATAGATGATAGATAGATAGTAGATAAGAGATAGATAGATATGTAGATATTAGATAGATAGTGATAGATAGAGAGATTAGATGAGATTAGATAGATCGATAGATGATAGATAGATAGATAGATAGTGAGATAGATAGATATAGATAGATAACAGATAGTAGATAGATGATAGATAGAAAGATAGATAGATAGATGATAGATTAGATAGTAGATAGCTAGATAGATAGCTCGATGTGATAGCGAGAGATAGATAGTGATAGATATTGGATCGGTGATAGGGTAAGGGTGACACATGGGAGAGGGAAAGCAATGAACATGTAGTTGAATAGAAACGTAAAATGGTAGATTGAAAAATGCAATAAGTCATTCTAATTAAACATTAGATAGATCAGATGAATCGTTGAAGTAAGCTGGAAGTTACAGAGAAGATGGGCTACCGTCTCGTCTTAATCCTCATTCGGACAACTTCCAACTTCCTCATTCGGACAACATCATATTTGTAGTGAACACTAATAACCGATACCAGAATACCTAGCTGCAGGCTCTGGCCAAGGACATACGTAGTTTTACGTTGGTCTATATAAGGCTACAACGCTTTAGAGGTCGAGCAAGTGTACTCACGGGATCAATGGCCTTGAGCATTAGAGTAACAGGTGTCTATGATCAGTCTAGAAGTGGAACTTTTCAAAACTACTAATCTGAGAAAGCCCCTCCATCTCATTGATAGACATCTGGCATTCATGAACGAGTCGAAATGAGGAAAACACACAACACAATTATTCAATTAATATTGTTAAAAGTTTGGAAAGACTTCCTTAAAAATTTAACAAAAATGCTAAACAATCTCTTTAAAAATGTAAAATTTTAAAGATATTAACTGATGATGTAGTTAAAATGATGAACTATGCATACTAAATTTCATTAGAAACAGTTTTTAAATGATCCAACCTCGATCAAGACCCATATACAAACCTGTAATTATTTCAATTCCTGGGTATAGACCATCATTAAAATATTAATTTATACAACCTGGAATATTACTTTAGCTGCCTCTAAAGTATTTTATTTAAATTAAATAAACCAAAATCATATACGCAATTTTAAATTACCTTAAAATTTTATTATAAAAACCATTTTCACAAAAACTTTTCTTTAATGATGAACTTATTTTTCGATTTTACATCAAAACCCTTTTTTACATAAAATCTAAAAAATACCCAAAGATTTCTCTACCACAACGTGAGGCTGGCGCATGAATTCATAATTCTCGGGAACACCTAAGAAATCTTGGAAACCAATCATTTCATCACGACCCAAAAGAACATCTTCCATCATGTTGCTAAAAGAAAACATAGATATTAACTACATATTTAAACAATAACAAAAAAACTGCTTAATCATTTACCTTGACTGAAGGAAAGGCAAACGACCCACTTGTCTGGCAGCAAACAACTCCATGCCCATTTTAATGGGTACATTCAGACCCTCACGATTTCTCATCATTTGCATGTGTAAATTATACTGATGTTGATCATAGTTGGCTTCCGAATCGCGTAAACGATGAATATGAGCTACTTGCATTAAACAATTCGATTTACCGGGAGCTGCTACGGTGGGTGCTGCATCTAGAGTGGTGGCGACTGTGGGTTGTACTTTAATAGAGGTTTCCTATGATTGTAATATAAAATAAATAAAATTAATATATTATTTTGATTTATTTATTATAATTATTACCATTTTTTAAGGTAAAATTTATAATTTTTGTCTAAATAACAAAGTTTTTGCAAAATTATGGTGCTTCTTCTTTTTCAACTGGGAATGACAAACAATTTGTATTAACGTGAAGTTGGCTGCAGTTGCTGATGTTAAGAAAATGAATAGAAAACAAATGTCAAAATATATTTGCAGACCAGCGAACACCAATATTACGAATAAATGGTAATAGCCGTTAAATTTTGAAAGAAGAAAATTTTCTTATATCGTAAAAATAAGTCTTTTTAAATAGAAATTCAAATAATCAACTTTTTGTAGAAAAAAGTTTAAAATTCTAGGTTAATTATTTTGGATTTTATAATCAACTTTCTAACGAAGTCGGCTATTTGAGTTAGGATTCCATAGTCGTAACTAAAAGTCGACTTTACTACTTTTGTTTTTATAATTTTTGTCGTAATTGTTCCAAAAGTCTCGAAGTTCATTTTTTTGTTAAAAAAAACTATTTTGTAGGAAAAAAAGATCGAAGAGTCGACCTTTTAATTTACTACTTTTGTTTTTATAATTCTTGTCGTAATTGTTCCAAAAGTCTCGAAGTTAATTTTTTAGTTAAAAAAAACTATTTTGTAGGAAAAAAAGTTCGAAGAGTCGACCATTTCAAAATATAAAAATCGAAAAGTAGACTTTTTATACATTGCAAATAGCCAACTATATAGCCCTAGAAATAAGGGTTTTGTTAGGTTTTTATATAATAGACTTTCAAACTTTTTATAAAAAAAGTTGACTATTTTGGATTCCATAAATCGGATCCATATTTGATTCAGTCGACTACATATTTGATTCAGAGTTATATAGACTGACTTTTAGATGTTTCAACGGCTTTATTGAATTGGTTTTATAAGTCTTTTAAGACTTTGACCTTTTTGTCTTTTGTCGACTTTTATTTACAAAGTCTACTCTTCGACGTTTTTCCTACAAAATGGTCGACTTCGACTATCTCCGTTTTTGAAAAAAAGTCTATTGTTTTATTGTTCGAAACTGGAATTTAGAACCTAAACAATTGTAGAACTCTTATTGTGATTAATTCTAA